AAGATTTCCAAACGATCACTCTCTGTGATATTTTATACACCGCCGGCAGAGCCGGTACGAGGGACGTTGGATTACAGCAGCTTTAATCGTCCCTTTAAATGCATCGACGCCAGGCTTTCCGTTCAAGAGGGAAACCTTCTTCTCCTCTCTCTCTCTCTCTCCGGTTGAACGATGCATAATGTGGCGGCGAATTTAAATAAAAAAGAAAAAGAATCGCCACCTGCTCGACCCAGAAAACACAATCCACGTCGATCCTTTAAAGTCTTAACGAATGTTTCCCTTGTCCCCTCATTGTTCCCTCTCTCTCGTCGCTTCTTCTCCCCTTTAACAGAGGCGAAATTAACGAATTCAATAGCGAACCGATTAAGGGTTGGCAAACCACTCCGGGGCGTTTAAAAATAGGTAAAGTTTGGGAATTTCTGTCGTAGCTAACTACTGAATAAAAAATCTCCATTTTTTCAGAGAATACTAATGTAACCTTCAGCTGTTTTTCTCTAATTTTTGAAAGGTACGAATGTCACGAAATGGAGGAGTTGTTCCTCTGCTAGAAGAAAGATCGTTCACCATTGCTCGGCGAAGTTTGCAACGTCTGAAATAAAAAATTCTTTTTGATGCACGTAAATAAAAATGTATTATCTGCAACATAAATAATTTTCAGACATTGTAATTATTATAGAAACAGTTGCAGTTTAAGGAGGAAAAACTTTTGAACGATTCCGAAAAATTCACTGTCGCTGTGAATATTCTGCGTTGGTTTGAGGGTTCCTTAAAGAAAAAAAAAAGGAACAAGGGAAAAGAAGCGACCTTAGTGTAAGCGACGATATTTCCGTCGATTCGTTTCGAGTGGACACGCGTACACACAGGGTGTGGCGATTCGATGCAACCACGGGGCATGTGTGCATTGCTAGCTGTCTAGATGGTTTTTTGGAATTTGCACTGGTAGAAAATGCCGCTGAACAAGGGAGGGAAATGTGTCCTTTTTATTCGACCATTGTCCTGGCTCCTAACAAAGGCTTCACTAGGGATCGATCGTGCAACGGGAATTAATGGAAATCTCGTATGCAGAGGGTAAACGAAAGATTGATAAATAGTGGGAAAAATTGAAGAGCACAAGGGAGTATAATGGAATAATTGAGTTTGGAGAAGAAATGTTGAAAGTTGAATAAAGTAAGGGTGGTAGGAAATTGCAAAGATTTCATTCTCTCGGAGAACTGAAGAGTTTCCTTTTTTAGAAAATTTGTGGAATCGGTGCAATTGTGAAATTAGAGAAGATAGGAAATAATTTGAATAGAGAATTCGGAGATTTGATGGAAGGATGATAAGAAACTGGATATGAGAATAACGAAAAGATTCGACAGACTAGGAAAATTATAAAATTGCACAGCCTCGCAGATTTTGTAGTTTTGAAGAATTTGAAAATAAAAGTATGATAAAGTAAAGCACAGAGAAAAAATGGAGGAAGTAGGTGACAAGAAGTAACGGAAATGATAAACTACGAAAGCTTACAGATTTATTTTCGAAAGATTAATTTTAATAGGGTATTCCAGGATAAACTGATGCAAACACGAAACACGAAGAAAACAAATAGAGGAACAAGGGTACAAAACTAACAGAAATTATGAAATTGTAAAGGCTCTCTGAAAGCATCAAAGTGGTTGCCTCAAAACGTTCTTTTTCCCTTTTCACAGCGAACTGTCTTTTTCTTTTGTTAATTATCAATACATCCACGAGAGAATATGCTAATGGGGATTTTGTAAATTGATGAAGCTCCAGCTTTTCCTTTACTTTCTTTTCCTTTTTTCTCATCTTTTTTCGCTGACGGAGTTCGAGGTTTCGGGGATGATGTCACATTCAAGGTTGTTCCACCCTAATCGATCTCGGGTAAATAAGTTGACGATGCTTGGGCGAAGGGAGAACGGATCGAGCGAATATTTTCCAACAATGAATATCTTATGAAATAACAATCTGCTAATTTCTTTGGAAAACACAACGTAAGAGGAGATAAATGCTGAGAATTCCTTAGGAAAATTCATCTCGAACGTGAAAAAGCACACTTTGACCTTTCGCCGTGTGGAACAAGTTCATCGCGTAAACGCACAAGAGGAAAAAGTGCGACAATTCCTCTCATTCTCCCGGCGTGAAGTAATCACATTTCCCGTATTGAAAACGGGTTAAGGTAGTCGTGAATTTTTCATGCTCGATTTAATTAAAATGTCCATGGAGGGAAATTTAATCGAAATCGAGTCACAATCACCGTCGGATGAATTTTATCGGCGAAGTCGAGTGCGTCTCGCATGCGACGCGATGGGAACAACGCGTTCGTTCCGCGAAATCGATAGAACGAAAACGTTAACAAGAGCCTTGGTATTTTTCCGATGCCTTTGAATTTCATTCACGATGCAGCCTTTAAAAACCGAGCCGCGCAACCTTGCAAGAAATTTCGCGGAGAGGAGAGACGACGATACGATCCTTGGGGGGTCGCGTCGATTTTGCATAAAAATAGTATACGATCGATAGCGTGAACAATGTAATAGAAAAATTATACGGACCGCGACGGAAATAGTGGCAAATTAATGGAAATGCTACACGTCGAAGGGATGGCGGAACGATGAAAATAGGAGCGCGACGAATGTAACGATACATGGAATACAAACGGTACGAGGAAATAAACGTGGATGAGAAAAGAGGAATGGAATGAAGTTGTGGAACGAGGGAAGAAAGAATGTGATATCGGTGGATAATGGAATAATGGGAGAGATTGGGGGAAATTTTAATACTTTACACTCTTAACCCTTTGCGCTGTAATTGTTAGACTGCGGGTGTTTGTGCATTTAAAGGGGTATTCTAGTGTGACGGTTTCAAAACCGATTTTTTTACGAAAAAAGAGTTTTTAATTTTCAATATTTTCAGTTTATTCTACTACCGGCCAGAGGCATACTAAATAAGAATCAATTGGATTTTTCTCCATTCATTCATGCCCGTGTTTGACTATGTTGGTTATTTTTCAAGAAAAAAAATTGTAATCATTCTTCAAGGACAAGTAAATACACAGGAATAGAGCTCGTGTTAATAACTGTTACTGAACTTCTATAATAAATCAGCAAAACAGGTCTAAAAAATCGGCTGTCACGCTAGAATTTAAGAATACAATCTGGGTCGTTGATGACTCAAGTGAAATTTTACTCTTGTATTTTCTCGAAACGAACTTTTATGTTTATTGAAGAAATTTGAACAAATTTGATTTAACGAACAATTGTATAATGTAGTAGAGACTTTGATAAGTATTGTAGAATTTTTTTAGATTTTTTGAAAGCCTAGAATAGTGAAATAATTAGACTTGGCATGAACGATTCAGTTTACCTAAGGAGTGTGAAAGCAGGAGTGTGTATGCAGAAAATATGTGGGGTATGTAATAAGTAGTATTAAAAATATGTCATAATAATGGAACCTTCGTTATTCAAACGTGACTATAATTTAAATTTCAATAAACTGTAAGCATTTTTCTATATTAGTTCATTGATAAGGTTTATCGATTAAAATTAATGTATGAGCAGAAAATGTGTGATATGTATTATGATAAACGTATATGAAATATGCAGAATAATTTTACAAAACGTGTAAAATGTGCAAATTAAATAGCACATGGTTATAATCCTCTAAAAACATAAAAAATTTCTATCCAAGCCCGACTTAGTTACCAATATCCTACAAAAACATGCATTTTCGAACTTTATTTATATTAAAATAAAGCAAATTTGCAAAAGAAATGGAAATAGAAAAATTCCTAAACAATTATCATCTTTTTCTTTTCTGGCGCTGTTATGACGTTGATAATATGCGCCATAACTCCATTCAAAGCGAATTGACGAAACAAATATAAATAAATTCTTAAACATTTGACATATTTCTACGCTCTTAAATAAACTTTTGGTTTTCGAAAGCGTCGGTGGAAAAGTGTACCGGAATTCGGACTGCAGAGGATTCAAATTACAAAACCGTGATATAAGGGGACGGTGAATGGGGGAATCGAACAATAACGAGGCGTTAATGTAACGAAATCGCGAAGTGACGAACCAGTAAAATGAAACAAGGAAATAATCGTTCAAAGAGACAACGGAAGCGAAAATAGCGAACGAATGAAATATAGCTAGAGGAAAATAACGAGTTCAAACATCCCAATAAAAAAAAATGCGAGTAAAATTCTCGAGAAGGAAAACTGTGACTTACTTAAATTCTTAAAAAAAAAAAAAAAGCAAACTAATAAAATACTGGAAAAATAAAGTGTACTTCGCAGATAAAGTATCAAAAGAGAAAAACAACGTCGATATAAAGTATAGATAGAAAAAAATAATGAGTTAATAAACTCCCAATAAAGAAAAATAGCTCTCCCAAAGAGGAACACAGTGAATCAATAAGATTCTACTAAAGGAAAATACCGAATTAGTAAAATATTAAAAAAGCAAAGTACTTCGTGAATAAAATATCAAAACATAAAGACATAAAAAAAGAAAAAAATATTGCAAAATAATTCAATCCCAGAGCAAAGACATTTCTTAATAATTGTCAAAGAAATAATATACAAGATAGAAAAATACATTATTAATTATACAAATTAATTCTCTGCCTTTTCTCACAAATTTCAATGTTTATTTGCAAAAAAATCAAACATAATTTTAACGTTCCGAATCATCTCCCTTGTCTTATACGACCTTTTCGCATTTATCGCGTAACAGACAAATTCTCTCTGCGCAAAAAGAAAAAATATATGGCGGTATTAAGTCGAGACTTCGCGAAGAAAAGCACCGAACGAATTTCTACACCTAATAAAATAAATATCTCGATGTACGTATGTTACGAGTCACGAGAAGAATTGCAAATAGGTATTATTCGACGGTAATAAATGAAAGAAATTACAAAGCTGTTCTCTGTTACAGCGCCAGAAATAGCACGGTACTATGATTGAAAGCGCCGCTGCAATTTCGCTATTATTTCTTTTACAGAGTGCCCGAGCTCGGAAGACGGGATGGAAAGGTTCGCGTGCCCTACTGCAGACAGAATGGGTAGATACCATTGCATCGACGATCACGCCTTGTGCGACGGTTTCATAGACTGCCCTACAGGCGAAGACGAGGACAGGCAAGCCTGCATGTTTTACAAAACCGTAAGTCTCTAATCAACTGTTTCGTGACAGTGTGTAGTCTGCAAATAACTCTATCAATAACCCACAATTTACTGCAATTTTCATCTAACCCTGTGTGAATCTATATATTTACGTTACATTTATTTCTTCCTTATTAAGAGCTGAAAAATGTCGACAAATTTTGCTGTCGTTACATTTTTTATTTATGGAAGTTTTATTTATTGAAAATTTCTTTTTTCTGTGTCATCTGTGACTGAATCTACAACGGACAAAGTGACACTCACTAACATGATCGTTGTTAATTTTTTCTCACAAAATACTACTCCGTTGTTGCCCTTTATTTTTCCTTTAATTAACGTCGTTTATAATTTTCCATTGTTGAAGTAATTAAAAAACTTTTCGCCGCCTCGCGAAAACTCGTCGAAACCTATTAAAAAACATTTTGCGACCTGATTGGATAGCAGAAAACATTGCGCGCAACCAGCAGGCATCATTGGCTTCCCCCTTCGTTGCTCTCTCGATCCTTGTACAATCACCAACCTGGTAGAATATCATATCGTACTTCTCGTCTAATTGAAGAATGGGATATTTCCATCTGAGTAACCTGCTCATCCACCTAGAAATTTCTCCATTGTGTCACAGTTCTTATTGCATTTGTTAAAACTTCCAGAAAGCCGAATACAAAAGCGTCGAATTAACTCCGATGATTACTATTTCGTTAAATTAGCATTACAAAATTTCTCATTCGACGTTCCACTTCTACTCTACTTTCTTTTCTCTTATTATAAGTCACGTTACATTTCCTTTCGTTTTTTACACTATTTTGCATTAAAATCTTCGCTGAAAGTGTTGATTATCTAGAAACAAGTAACTTCGAGAGGAAAAACATTTCGTCCATAGTTGTCCATTAATTCTGTACAGAATTCGTTTTAACTTTTACTCAAGACCTTATCGACGTGATAATAGAAGTATAAATACATGGAAATTCGATTTCGATCTCGTTTATTCTGTGAAAGAGTAATCTATGAAGAAGGGGAATTTATTTGAAAAGAGATCGAAAAATCGATAGTCTATTAGAGAACCATTGTAAAAACTAAGGAATATCGTGACTAAATTTGTCGATAAATATCTTTGTTCTTTAACTTTGTCAGACACCGTTTAATTTCAATATTATACTGAATTTTGT